CAGTTTGTGAACAGAGAAGCCTTTGTGCGGGCGCCATTTTGTGTGAGTGCCCACGACTTGCTCCCAGAGTTCTAGAAGGGCCTACAAGGTCCAAAACATTGCTTGGTTCTGACTTAAGTTAAATATCTGTGTGAGATGAAACAATTGTCCTTAAGTCTCTCATCAATGGTTGTAAATTGATGGGCCTCAGAAGGATGGAAGATAGCCCCTGATGCATTCTCTTGGTTTTGCTCTTGAATTTTCCTTTGTAAAGCAAAGTTATAAACAAACAATTTTTTTAATCCTTACAAACCTCTTTCAGGTTTGTTCCTTTTTCAGGTTTTCCTTTATTTTCAGGTTTGTCCTTTAGAAAAAACGGTCCCTGTAATTATGTGACACCTTAATGTTGGTTTATGGATTTATGTTACAATTGATATAGCCCGCCCAATTCAAATGACTCTGGGTGGGTTACAAGGTAAAATTAAAAATGTAACAATAAAAGAAATAGACGTTTTAAAAACAACTGCAACCGTAAATCAATGGTAGTAAATAAAACTTAGCTAGAGTTGGAAGTCTGGTGAAACTGTCTTTAAAAATCTTCTAAAAGCCATGAAGGAGGGAGCTTTAAAGAGTTCCGAAATGTGGGAGCCGCCACAGAGGTCTGTCATCCTGGCCATGTACCCCTCCACAGAGAGGTGGATTCTTAGCAGATCTTCTTGAGATGTTCTCACCTGACAAGCAGTTTCGATTCTGGCACATGAACATGTACTGAATATATCAGTATTTTCTGAATCAAGGTAGAGCTCTCTGCAAGTCAGTAACTAAGGGTCACCTGCTCAACTTAGCAGAAAACTGTAGCTCATCTTAGCTTAGCAGCACCTAGCAATCTTGGTTGACTTCAGAAATAAAGTTAGTAGTTGGAGGGGACACCATCAGGTAATCCCAGGGCTGTAGGCTAAAGTGAGTACTTGGCCAAAAAAGGAAGGGAGGGAGGGAGGGAGGGAGAGAGAGAAAAAAAGAAAAAGCAGACCTAGAAAAAGACAGTGGCAAATCAATTCAACACTATTGTTAAAAATCTATGTGGAAGGAAGTCACTAGAAGTCAAGTTCAATTTGAAGGAAACTTTACTGTGTATTTCAGCTTAAAGTAACTACATATTTATGTGACAAGAAAATACTTTATGAATGTAGAATAGAAGATAGGAGGAGTGGGAAATGCAGGTATCTTTAAACTTAGCTATTACTTGCTCAATGGCTTCCTGAGAAATTTCTCCCTTTGAAAGAGAGGGGCTACTCCTTCCTTAAGGTTAATATTAATTATACCTTCATCTGTGGGAAATATATATAAAGAAAGAAAAAGCGAGCAAACAAAATAAAACAGTTAAGATTTTTGCCACCCATTGTGGATTTTTAATTAGTTATTAGAAAGAACGATTCAATCATGAATACAGACTGACTTTTTCTATATGTATTCCAGGATGATAAGTGGGATTATATTATTATTATTATTATTATTATTATTATTATTATTATTATTATTATTATTATTTACATACAGTCATGTGCACAATAAGGCAAATGACTGAAGCTCAGATGTTATCCCAAGACTGAAAGAATAGGAAGAATGGTTAGCTGCCAGGATTTGATATCTAGAAACCATAACAGCCTCTCCAAATGTGGGCCAGGCACTCCATTCCCAGAGCGGTTTTCAGGTTGTGTTCATTTCTGCTTTGCACAATCTCAGCGGAGGAGAACCAACTATCACATTACAGCCGCCTGCAGAGAAGGGATTATATATTGTTCACTTCCCTACCCCTATGGAGAGAAAACGAAACATACACATTTGCGGTCTATCAGGTGATGCTATTCATTCACTCTTCTCCCTTGCTCGCGACCACCTCCTGGGCACCCAACTCCCCGGACTGTGCATTCCTGCTGCTGCTAATTGCTCATTCTTCTGTGCCTCCCTTTGATCTCCACAGTTGGGTCTCCAAGCCAGCCAGCCAATGGGAGCACTCAGAACTCTATGTGGTGCACCAGAAACATTCCCAGGGACAGGAGACCTTCAGTTGTCCCTCTGCTGGGTTAGCAACAGGAGGTTTTGCACCTGAGCGAGACCAGTAACAGTCATACAAGGGTGAATCTATTCCCCTCCTGAGGTTCCTGCCACGTGGGGCACTGTCTTTGCTTCCCTGTTGGCCACTGTGCCTCTGTCCAATGCAGAGAGGAGTAGAAGTGGATGAGCAACCCATCCCTAGGTCTTTCTCTACGACCCTCCGTCACATCTGGCTCACACAGCTGTAGTCTTGGAAGACGGGAGCTGCAGCCCAACTCCTCTCCAAGTTTCCAAACTGAAGAAAGGTGGGGTATAAAAGTTATGGCACAAATAACTTTTTTTCCTGCTGTGTCCTCATGGTGTTACCTTCAAATGACCCCCTAACCCATTTAAGGTGCTGTTTTCCCCCTGCAGCATGCTTACTGTAGATACAATCTGACACAGTTCACCCTTGGTCAGTGGCAGGGCCGGCTGAAGGCCAACTGATGCCCTAAGCACAGTCCAACAGTGGTGCCCCTCGGCCCTTCCACTGCTTAACTGACAAGATAAAGACTCAGTAAGTGCTGAAAACTAAAGTTGTGTCAGTGAAAGAATTTAAGGGCAGGATAGCTAGGGAAAAAACTCTATGGTGCTCCCCTTCCCTTGATGCCTAAGCACATGCTTGTTTTGCTTAATGATTAGCCCAAGGCTGGTCAGGGGTGACCCATATGGTGCAGAATCAGCTGGGCACTTACTGGTCACTTTAGGCTGGGTGGAACCGCATCCCCTCCCCTCTAGATCTTGGTCAGTATCTTCCAGGGCCTTCTGCTCTGGGCAAAGGGAGGCCCTAGATCAGTGTTGTCCAAACTTGGCCACTTTAAGATGAATGGACTTCA